ATTCTCAGAGAAGAAAGTGTTGCAGCAGAGCCAATGTGATGATGTCCCTTGACTCACAAGTAATCTTCGAAGATTCCTGTCATCGATTCATTTGATCCTTCTTGGAGAAAATGGTTGATTAGAGAAAGTAGCTGTAGTAGTAAGATTAGTAGCATATATATCCCCATTTCTCAGCTTATAAAACTTATGGAAAAAAGCTAATTTTGTTCGTTAATTTTGACTTTTTATCACACTTGGTGATTTTGGTCGTTAATTTTGACTTTTTATCACACTTGGTGACTTTGGTCTTACGACGTCGTTTCTTTATACTAACCAAAAGCCTAGAATATCTCAACTTCAGGGTATACAAGTCTCAATATACAAGTCAAAATATTATCTTATTACCGTATACAATTCAAAATATTGAAGGGTCTTCGTCTAGAGACTCCGCAAATTTGAAGAAATTTCCACAATGTGTACCTGATTCTATAAAATATAAAGAATTACTACAATATTTCCCACGAGTGATTCTTGGATATATTAAATTTTGTGTGTTTTTCCAGCGAATGTTCCAGAAGAATATTGATTCTTATAAAATAAAGTTAAAGAAGAAGCAAATCAATAGAAGTCATATTTGTTCACGAACACAAGGTTTGACCACAGATAACGCGTCTCTTGAAATATGAATGTGTATATACTATATAATAAATTCACAACAGAGGAAACGAGGTACAATCACAAAAGACCTTCAAATACAATTTTCATTTTGATATAAAGCTTTTGAGAAAGAGGATATACAATGAACGGAACATCGTGGGCTGACCAGTGGGACAATAGCGGCGGCTCTGCCAGAGGAGGCCAAGTCGGCAGTGGCGCCGTCGTGAGAAGCAGCGGAAGTGGAACAACGTCAAACACGGCTAAGTACAAGGAGAAAATGGGACAAGGATTAGACAAGACCAAAGCTGTAGCTTCTTCTGGTTTCAAGAAGCTCAAGACTGGTTCTGCTATTGGTTTTCGTTGGGTCAAAGACAAGTATCACAAAACCACACACAAATAATAAAGACTCCTTGTATATGATTATAGTTTGAATTATCCACTTGGCAAATATTATTATGTCTGATCTATATATTTTTAGCTTGTTTGATTTGATGAATGTTTTGTTTATTGTAGTAAATTGTTCGAGTTTGAATTCATGGGATTATATCATTTGATTTTTTTTTCTTTAATTTTAATCGCAGCTTTAAATTATTATTGAGTAATTACACTGCATACCCTAAGACTGGAAAATAATTAAGTCAAAGGAGAAAAAGTGGTTTCGTAAATAAATGGTGTTTTGGTTTAATGACGAAATGACCAAATTACCCCTACAATCTTCATCCTTTATGTTCTTGAGATGGCCGGAGATGGAGAGATCTTTTGTTCGTTGTTTTATGGCCGTCGTGGTAACGCTTTATTCTCTCGGTCGTGGTTGCCTATTTCCGGCGAACTTAGGTAAGCCTTTCGATTTTTGCATGCAGGAATTAGAATTCTCTGATTAATTTGTTTATTTATCAATTTTGAATTTGTCTGTCTCTTCAGGGGGATTTTGATTATTATCCATGGATTGAATGAACACAGGTGAAAAAAAATCAATCCTTTTTTTTTCTTTTTTTTGTCTCTGTTTTTCGATGAATCCCTAAATGAATTTGTGAATTGTTATTAAATTGCAGTGGAAGATATTCTCAATTCGCTAAGCAGTTAAACTCGAGTAATTTGGGTGTATACGCAATGGACTGGATTGGTATGAAGACGAAATATTGTTTTTTTCATTATTCATATTGGATCGATTGTTGAAGCTTCGGGATGGTAGCGAGACGAAGATCGGAGAAAGAGCAGTGGATGGTGGTGATGTGTCATTTTCTCTATTTTGGAGGGTATTTTCGTCCGAAAGTTTATGGTGTGCTAGTTTCTCTCTCTTGTTTTGCAAAAAAAAAAACTTGTGTATGCCACACCTAATTATTTTTCAAATAATTAGCATGCAGCTAATTGATTCGTTATTATTTCTATAATCGAATCAGATTATATAAAAATACAATTTAACAAAAAAAATATATATAAAAAGTCTCAGAGGGAAAATTTCCCTCGCTTCTGCAAAAACAATCTTTTGATCTGAATTCGGTAAATCAATCGGAGAACCCAAAACCCTAGGAATCAACCTTCCACTCTAAAATTATCGGCGGAAGCAGAAACCCTAGCCATCGGTTACATCCATCGCCGCCGTTAGAGGAATTTTGACGGCCGTGATGTCGATAGAGATGCCAAGAGGTTTACCATTTGCCGTCGACACTTTTGGACCATACACGACGACCAAGAGAATAAAGAGACATCATTTCTTAACTCACGCTCACAAAGATCACACCGTCGGGATTTCTCCTTCCAACATCGTCGTCTTCCCAATTTACTCTACTTCCCTCACCATCTCTCTTCTTATTCAACGTCACCCTCAGCTTGATGAGTCTTTCTTCGTGAGGATTGAAATTGGGCAATCAGTGATTGTTGATGATCCTGATGGACAATTTAAAGTTACTGCTTTTGATGCCAATCATTGTCCTGGTAACTTCCTTCGTAGCTTTTAATTGTTTTTTTGATTTGTGAAAGTCTTAGCTTTTCCAAATTTTGACGAATTTCATAAACTTCAGGAGCCGTCATGTTCTTGTTTGAAGGAAGTTTCGGTAATATACTTCACACTGGTGATTGTAGGCTTACACTAGATTGCCTACAGAGTCTACCAGAGAAATATGTTGGAAGAAGACATGGTGTGGCTCCAAAATGTTGTCTTGATTACATTTTCTTGGATTGTACATTTGGGAAATCCTCTCACTCTCAGAGGTTTCCCAGTAAGCATTCAGCTATTAGACAGGTGAATCATAGCACTTTTCGTTAAGTATTGGAATCGTTTCTGTGTAAAGTTTCTCCATTTTCATTGCAATTTCTTTGCTCATGAATTCAGGTTATCAATTGCATATGGAACCATCCAGATGCACCAGTTGTATATCTTGCTTGTGATATGTTGGGACAAGAGGATGTTCTGTTAGAAGTTTCTAGAACGTTTGGCTCCAAGATTTATGTGGACAAAGCTACAAACTTGGAATGTTTCAGATCGTTAATGGTAATTGTTCCTGAAATTGTCTCTGAAGATCCTTCTTCCCGGTTTCACATATTCAGTGGGTTCCCTAAACTGTATGAAAGAACAAGTGCGAAACTTGCTGAGGCCAGATCGAAACTTCAGAGTGAACCTCTTATCATCCGTCCTTCAGCGCAGTGGTATGTTTGTGATGACGAAGATGATTGGGAAAGTGGAAGCATTCAAAAGCAGAGAAAAGTTAGGTTTAGTGAAGCTGTCAAGGATGAGTTTGGTCTTTGGCATGTGTGTTACTCAATGCATTCATCCCGTGAAGAATTGGAATCAGCGATGCAACTTCTTTCTCCGAAATGGGTTGTATCAACGGTTCCTTCTTGTAGAGCAATGGAACTAAACTATGTGAAGAAAAACTGTTTTATCAGTCGGTTTTCGCCTGATGACCCTTTCTGGAAGCTTCTAGACATCGACATGGAAGTTTCTCCAGTTGCAGCAGCTGATACTCACACAGTAGCTCTTAGTTGTTGTCTCATGAGTGAAGAAATCATTCTGGATTCTGCAAAATTGAAGCTAGAACCTGTAATCGAATCTTCTAGCACGAAGAAAAAGCTTCTGAGTTTATCCCCTGAAAAGAATCTACCTGTAACTCTGTTTGGGAGAGCAAGGCTAAGTTCTCAGGAATCTGATCAACTACACGAGAGAAAAGTCATACACACTCAATGTGTATTCACCAAAAGCTCGCCGGTATTGGAAAAGCTGAATGTACAGGAAGTAATTGAGTCTTTACAAGATGATACTAAAGAAGAAACAATAGAGAAGGAATCTTGTACAAGCTTTTCTACTTCAAAGGAGGCTTGCAAGGATCTTAGTGGGGATTTGAGAAAGCTATACAGATCAATGAACGCACCTGTGCCTCGGCCGCTGCCATCATTGATGGAGCTCATGAACGCTAGGAAACGCTCTCGGAATCACTTGAGTTTCTAGCTTGCGTTTGACAGCTTAGCCTCATCACATTCGTACAGTCTCAATTCCTTAATGTTTGAGAATACAGTTTGTAACTTAACACAGTATTATGATGACTCAAACACAGAAATTGATACATTCTTCTTTTCTTTTCTTTTCTTTTTTCAAATAAAAGATATTGTTGATAAAATCTTTTTCTTTTTTTTTATAAAAGGTTGATAAAATCTTGCACCTCTATAAAATACCACACTGATTCTTCCATTAACAATGCAACAAAATAAAATAAAGAACCCTAAATTATTCTGCGGAGTACGTCATGGAAGATGAAGTACTTAGTAGTAGAGAAGACCTTAATGATCTTTTGATGGAAGCAGGTTTCCCTCTCGAAGCCAATTTGTTTGCGTTGACCGAAATAGCCAACGATCGTATCATTCAAGTGACTTCCTCACGTGATTATAGCACAGATTGTGCTCTGTTTCTGATATTGATTTTTCGTGATCGTCTTCCTCTTTTCTTTGATGAGATTATAGAGGATGGTGAGAACAATAATTATATACGCTTTAGACCCGCAAGCAAGCTCGCTGTCAGGTGTCTGACCAGGAAAATATACTACAAGACTAGCTCTGGAGGTGGGGAAAAAGTGCACAATATGTTTGGAAGAGTTTAAGGATGGAGCAAGAGTTGCGACTTTACCATGTGGACATGAGTTTGACGAAAAGTGTATTGTAGACTGGTTTGCGACCAATCACTTTTGTCCATTGTGTCGTTTCGAGTTTCCATGTGAAGATCAGTGAAGAAAAATATGAGGATTACGGTTACCAAATTGTCTAACGTTTTTGGATTCTGCTTTTTTTTTTTTTTTTTTTTTGTTGAGCAACAAAAGGATGAGTAGTGTGACAACTCTCTAAAAGATTGTCTCTGTCTTAACCCCAAAACAAAAAACGAATGAACAAAAAACTTAGATGAGGAATATTAACAAAAAGTGTTAGCGAAGGTCTTAGCCTCTATATATATATTTCAAAATAGAGAAGAAAGGTTTTCAGATTCTGATTTCATCCGTTTAGAAGATGGAGTGTCCTTGACAGAAGAATCATCATGACTTGATGATGATGATGATGATGTATCACAGTCTTCTTGAAGCTTTCTCTTGTTGGAATGGCTTAAGGTTTTGCATTCCTCAGCTTCATTTTTCAATATAAGTTGTTTTATTCGCTTAACATCTGCTAGCTTCACTGGTTTCAACAGGAATTCCTCTGCTCCTTCCTTGAGACATCTAAAAACAAGAAGAAGTAGACGATAAGACACAGTTTAGATCACAGTGCAGGCACAAATATGATGTCGTCTGTATTATTATTACACATTATAAAATAGTACTTACTCTTCTATACGAGGTAAGATGTTCTCAGATGACATAATCACTACTGGTACTTCTCTGAATGCTGAAGATTCCTGCACATATCAATTGAGTATTATTATGAGCATCATAATAACAGTATTCAAGTTTTTCTCAGATTGTTAAATCTATCATTCCTTATTATTACCTTAATCTTCTTGAGGAGATCATATCCTGTTAGTCCTGGCATTGAGTAATCCGTCACTATCAAATTCACCTTCAAATCCTGTTATAATGAAAAGATCACAGAATATTAATAATACACTTTAACAAAAATCAGATCCTATAACCAAAACACACAAATCTAAATCCTATTTGATAATAAAGACAAGAAGCAAGAGCTAAAGATGCAGAGGTCTCTTTCTTTCCTCAGTAACCAAACAGATTTGTAGATAGCAAAAGAGGGAAGATTTGTTCCTTAATTACCTTAAGATTAGAAGCTCCTTTGCCTCCATCTAAGCCAAGATACTGCAAAGCCCTAGTCCCACTCTCTACAGTCGTCACTGCAATAACAAAAAAACCAAGAAATTTTGATTAAACATTAGGCAAAAACAAGAGACACTCATAACTAAAAACAGAGGAAAGTTTGTTGATGAAGAAAAACAGAGCAAAAAAAGATTGGTTTTGGGTTTTTACCTTTACAAGAAGAGATACGAAGCAACCTCTCGATGACTTTACGATCCACGATACTATCGTCGACGGCAAGAACATGTAACTCCGGAGTAGTAACTGTCAAATCTCCACCGGCTGGAATCTCCATCCTCATAACCTCACCGACCGCCATTGTCAAGTCAGAAGAAAAAGAGAGAAGATTGGTTCCAAGTAGAGGAAAGCTTTGGATTGAAGACAAAGGAAACTGAGGAATGAATGTGATAAAAGGAAGGAGAAGAAGAAGAAGAAGAAGAAGAAGAAAAAGTAAGGTTAGGTGACATAAATAAGAAAGAGAGATGGTGGGGTTTAATAAGTAGTATAGTAGTAGAGAGAGATTTGGAAGATCGGATCTTGCGGGGAAGATCTTTGAAGAGGAAACAAAATCTTAAAAATGGGTCAAGTGTTGATGTTATGTGTTTGGGGAAGTGTCAGAAAAACATAATAATCAAAGGTCAAAATCTTTGGGCACCGAATCTTTTTTAAGATTTCATAAATCTTTGTTTGGTCTGTTTCTTTCAATCCGACAGCGACTACTCCCTCGTGACCTGGGACTTTCCTTCTCCTTTTAGTCATTTTTAGTTTATTTACCTCTCTCTCTTTTTTTTCTTTGCCAAGTCGGCTACTATTTTTTTTTTTTTTTTTAATAACCGCGGGTCTCCCAAAAGTTTCTTAGGCCCAAGAACTAATTCCACGAGGCTGGCAATTCCCCTATGTAAATCTGCCAGTGGCCGTGTCTCGAACCCTGGTGGCGGAAGTCACAGTTGTGACCCCTTTACCACTAGGCCACAAGGCCCGGCTCAAGTCGGCTACTATTACTTTGCATTTTGTTGAATGCATTTATATCAATCAATGATCGATTAATCGACTTCTATATTTGATTCTAATTTCAATATTATATTAGTTTTATGATTAACACTACTTTTATATATTCCCTCCGTTCCTTCAAGTTTGATGTTCTAGTTTTTGGGTTTCTTCCACAAAGATTGATTTTCTAGATTTTTTCTTTAATTTTAATTAATTGATATTAATAAATCGTAGATTTCAAGACATAATGATTAACTATTTCAGATTACTATTGGTTCATAGTTTATTAAAACTATAAACAATGATTCTTAAGATATGTGAAATCTCTAGAAAATCATTCTTTTAGGAACAGAGAGATTATCTTTTTCGTTAAATGATTCATTTATACTCTAATAAAAATATATATAAATAATGGCATGATGGTGATAACTGATAAGTGATAACATAGTGTTGTCTTTTTAATTTGGTAAGAAGTATTGTACTCCCTCCGTATTTTAATAAGTGTCGTTTTAGAATTTTTATTTTTTTGAATTGGATGTCGTTTTCAAATTTCTATACAAAATTTATTACTTTTTAATGTTTTATGATATCATAAAACATTAAAAAGTAAAAAATTTTGCATAGAAATTTGAAAACGACATCTAATTTTTTAAAAAAGAAAATCCTAAAACGACACTTATTAAAATACGGAGGGAGTACGAGTTAATTTTTTTCTCTACGTCAATATAGGGTTATTTTATTTAAAGACAAAAGGCACATTTTTATTTTTTTATTGTCATCGTTTTCAGTTGAGTTTCCTTTATTAAATTGATTTGATTTGTAATGCAATAAAGGCGCTCTGTTTAGTGGACCATTGTGTGTGATTTGTGAATCTCTCTTGCTTTTGGAGAAAATCTGGAGAGAAAAATATGGACAAAGTATTGCTGGTGGATGGATCCTTTTGTCTAAACGAATTGCAAGAGGACTAAGGCAACAGGACATGATATTTTGATTTCAAATTAATTATAAAAAACGTATATTATAAGATCCATAAATAAGTGTCAAACATGATATCCCTAAATAAAATTAGAAATAAGACTCGGACAACATCCACCATACGTCCATACCATATAAGTATCTCTTATTTAAAAGGTTTTTATTTTGCAACAAAAGGGTTTTTGTCATCATTTCATTTAAGTTTAGTGATCTTTTAAGTTGACCATTGTGTGGTTTTGTGAGTCATTTTGGACAAAATCTGGAGAGAGAGTAAAATCTTCAAAAGTTATGGAGGAGGATCCTTTATATTTTGTAACATCTTTTAGCCGATTGTGAGAGGACATGAACAAAAAAAAATTCTAAAGAAAATTGGTTTCTTAGCATTCATTTAAAATCTAGCAAACTTTTAATATGGATTTGATAGATATCTACAAAAATCAATGTTGAGATATCGGATATCTACAAAAATCTAGCAAAAATATGATGGCCTTCACACCTAACACTAACGAAAAACATGATTTTTCAAAAGAAAAAGGAGTCAGTCATTTGAAGAAAAAGAAAAGTAAAACTATTACGATGTTTTTCCATATGTTCAAACATTTGATGATCGTGCTAAAAAGCATTGGTTGTAAGAACATTACTGAAAAGAAAAGGAAAAAACATCAATATGTTTCACATTTTCTTAGATTTCAAAGGTTGGTTCGATATCACTGCAACTTTTATACGGAACAAACCTTACTTTCATAAGCTTTTTCCCACCCAGACTTTTAATGGCTTATGTTTTAAACTTTCACTGCGTTTTATACACGGAAGAAATATCGGATTTTTCAAGCCCAATCCAGCTCCCTATAGTATGATATTATCCACTTTAAGTCTACATGTTTAACCCAGCACATATTTGTTATTGGACTGAAAGAACCCAAAACAAATCCATGCGGATTTTGCTACTTGGGTGCAAAACAAACAATATCATATTAATGGAAAAGTTGGAATGAGCGTAGAGAACCCAAAAATTGGTATCAGTTGAAAAAAGTAGAACTAGAAAAGTGAGTTTAAGCCTATGATCGGTGTGAGAGAAGCCCTCAATGTTACACGATAAAAAGGTGTCTCAAGAGTTTTGCAAATAAGAAGATGCTGAGTTAGGGTGATAAGGTTTCGCTGGAGAAGAAGCCCAATGTTTATGGTCTTTGGTTTGAAGGAAAGATTGTTGGGTATAAACCAACGTTCCACATCAAAAGTTAAGAAAGAAATTGTCCAATATATAAGTCAAGTCCAACTCCAACGTGATATATTGTCATTTTACCATCTAAGCGACTAATGGGTTTTTAAAGGGACGTATTGAAAAGATATTTAATGAAATAACAAATGTTTTCCATATAGCATGGCTGCTAGGTCTGGGCATAATACCCGAACCCGAAGAACCGAACCGAACCCGACCCGAAAAATCCGATCCGAATCCGAATCCGAAGTTTTAAAATATCCGAACGGGTTCTAAACTTCACAATCCAAAAACCCGAACCCGAACCCGAACCCGACCCGAACTCGAACCCGAACAAGTACCCGAACATACCCAAAATATAAGTACATAGTTATAATATATTAGTAATATTTATACTTGTAATAATCTAAGTGCCTAAATTATTCGGATGTTAAGATATTTTCGGATGTTTTAGCTACTTTGGCTTAGATATGGGTTAAAATACTTGGGTTTTATAGATTTTTTTGAGTATTTTTCAATACTTTGCATAGAATCGGATACAAAATTTCTAATATTTGGATACTTTGGGTAAACCCGAATCCGAACCCGAAATACCCGATCCAAACCCGACCCGAACCCGAAGTTTTAAAATACCCGAACGGGTCTTAGTTTTCTAAACTCGAAAAACCCGAACCCGAAAAACCCAACCCAAACCCGACCCGAATATCCGAACGCCCAGGCCCTACGCTACATATATCAACCGGAATCAGAAACCCTTTTGAGTGCAACTCCAGGATCCCTGTAGCCCGTTACCTATTTTGTAAATAGTAAGGTGACTAGTTTTCTAATTATGTTCAAAAACTGACTATACCGCAACTTATTTTTTTTTTATCTACTGCCTTTTGATGATCTATCCTTCAGAATATGTAAGCAATGTTTTGATGGGCCTTGTACTGTGAACAAAATAGGCCCAATTTATAAATTTCTTTGGTCAGAAATGAGAAACAAAATTTTGAGTTAAAAAAAGAAGAGTCCCACGTGTACTCTCTCTGTTCTTCTTCATCTAAACAAAGGTTTTGCAGAGTAACACCGATTCTTCGAATTTCGAAACAGAAAATTTTCTGCAAATTTGGGATCTAAAAATTAAGGAAAGATCCCTTCTTCGAAATGTGAATCTATTCCTCTGCCCGATCGTCTGAAAGCAAGTAATTTTTTTTTTTTTCTCTTCAAATCTTCTGTAATTTCAGTTTTTTTAAAAAATCTGAAATCTCTATTCAGATTGTTTTTATAAGGATGGATAGGATCAATGGTCTATCAGATGAGATAATTTGCCACATTCTATCTTTCCTTCCGACAAAAGAGTCTGCTTTAACATCTGTCCTGTCAAAACGATGGCGTAATCTGTTTGCCTTGACACCGAATCTTTGTTTAGTTGATGATCTTGAAGTGGGTGGTTGTGGACAAAGTCTCGTTGATTTTGTGGATAGAGTATTGGTTGTGTCAAGCAATTTCCCCATTAGGGAGTTTTCAATAAAATGTCGAAAGAGTATCGACTCGGGTCAATTCACCTGGTGGATGATTGAATTGGTGAATCGTGGTGTCGTAAATCTTGGTATTGACGTTATCGCTGGGCCTCATAGAGAGGCGATTTTATTGCCTATTGAGATGTTCACTTGCAATAATACAATGGTTGAGCTGAAACTAGCAACAGGGAGATTCGAGGCTATGTTACCTGATGAGGATGTTTCTCTTCCATCACTTAAGACTCTCTTTCTTGAGCGGATTTGTTTCTACAATACTGATTTTTGTGTTTTGGGAAAGCTTCTTTTTGCTTCTCCTTTGCTTGAGGAATTTACCATTCGTTGTGTTGGGAGCTGGCAATATGGGAGTTGCTGCCGCAATGTGTCCTCTTCCACACTAAAGAAACTTACTATCGTGTCTACTCCTCAGCTTGATTTTTGGGACATGCTTTTTGATACTCCGAATCTTGCCTACTTAGAATACACTGGTTTAGTTCCAAGAGAATATCCAACTGTGAATCTTGAATCCCTTGTCGAAGCTAAGCTTGATCTTAGTTTTTGTCTTGGTATTAGCAATCCAACAAATCTGATTAAGGGGTTAACGAATGTTGAGGTCTTAGAGTTATCATCTGTTAAAACTTCAGAGGTAAAGAATCATATCTTCTATTTTTCTTTCTTTCTTTCTATGTATGATGGTTATTGACTAGTTGATTTTTAATTTGTTTCAGATGTTCTATTATTTCCGCGAAGCAATCCCTGTGTTCGGCAACCTGTTTCGTTTATCTATTACAACTGATTTAGAATTCTACAATTGGAAGTATTTTCCAATACTTATAATGATTTCACCAAATCTACACACACTCGTCATCAAGGTATAACTGAAACCCCACAAGTTTATTGGACAAACTCAAATCTCTAATCTTCCCTCTTGGTTCAGGGTCCATTGCACGCTGATGAATGTGAAGGAGAATATGGATTGTCATGTCCTGTGAAAGTATTGAAGATAACTGAGTATGGAGGAAAAAGTGGAGAGCTAAAGCGAATGAAACACTTACTAGAGAAGCTGGCATGTCTTGAGCTTGTCAAAGTTCGTGCTTGTGCAATTAACGACAAAGAAAAGTCTCGAATCACCAAAGATCTGCTAATGGTTCCTAGATCGTTCAATTGCAACATCCAGGTCAAGTTTTCTGAGAAAACTAAGTAATGCATGAAAAACAAAATTTGTTCCCTCCTAGTTGAATAATTAAGTCGGTTATTGGTTTGTATGCACATTTGGTTTTAGTTGCTCTGTTTCTAGTGTTTTATCTTCGTTTCAAACGTGAATTGGAAGACAAGTCTCTCAGTGTACAATACGTTCCAGTATGTCAAAAATATTCTGATATCCAACACCACTGAGGACCGACCATGCCTCTGTTGTTATCAATAGTTATTACAAGCATTATAAGCAGAAGGGCGGTTATTGTTATCCTGCAATGATCATCCAGGATGACCCTAGTAAGTAACTTTCTCTAAATCCTTTTGTTTTTTTTTTTTAGTTATCAAAGGTCTTTAATTGATCAAGATCTTGAACCATCCGTGTCCTAATACCTCATGACTTGACAGGTCCTGGTTCTTGGCATTAGGAGTATATCCCTGATTAAAAGGTAAGGGGCTAAGATGAGATGATGAAGAATAGAGTGGATTTTTCATTATATTTCACCGAGATATCCTGTTTTTCCATTGTTACTTCTGATGCACAATATAAATGAATCCAATCTTTGTGAAGTTTCACTTTTCTCTTGTACAGTCTAATGTAGAATTTGATAAGTTATGGTATTAAGATTACATCAATCTGTTCATTTACATAATCCCTTTAGCAACAAAGTGAACAAGTAAAGGAAGAAGCTATATGGTCGGGATTATATTAAGCAACCTCTTAGGGAAAACAGCGAGTTCATATGTTGGATAAGACAGGCAGAAGCATGACAAGCTCAGCATTGCTGAGGGACACTGAAAAACACCAGAAAAGGTCCTTAGAGTCTCTTCTGTGAGGTCGAGCTCAGTAGGGAACGTCATGAGAGTGAACAGGTTGGCCAGAATATTGGATAATAAGGTCAGTTGGCTTTGTCAAGTCGTATTTTCATATGATATAAACATCATCTTCTTCTTATTGTCAAGCAACTCAAAACAAATCTCTTCTTTCCAGTAAATATTCCAAATGAGGGTGATTAGTCTTATTGAGTGTCAATTCTGTTGCTAATCCTGTTTCGTTCAAGAGGGGAATCGATAAGATAGTTATGGCCTTATAGATTTGATATAAGAGCTGCAGAAGAAAGCTAAGCCTGTCAAAGGTCGTGATGACATCATAGGTAACTATTGATTTACCTTCCTGTGGTGCAATGGCAATTTTAATCTTTTGCTTCCATCTCTGCTGGAAATGAAGAGCTTATAGGAACAATGATTGCTGATGCCAATATGCCATTGACAAAGTTGGACGTGATGGTATCTTGTCCATTGAGTCATCATCCTCTTTTGAGACCATGGTCGAAGTAGAAGAGGGAATGGAGGTCTGTGTTTAATTACTGCTCAATTTTAATTTGTCGACCCAATGGCTAACTTTGATTTCTTTCCTTGAATTACAGATTGACAGAGGTTACATCTCACCTCAATTTGTAAAAACCTTGAGAAAGTACTAGTTGAGTTGGAAAATGCTAGGGTGCTTATCACTGATCAGAAGATCTCTGCAATCAAAGACATCACCCCCATTTTGGAGAAGACCACACACACAGCTTCGAGCTCCATTGTTTATTATTTCAGGGGATTACAGGTGAGGCCTTAGCAATCCTTGTTGTCGAAAAGCTCTGTGATATCCTCAATGTTGTCGTCATTATGACAGGTATGTGGGGATTTTGCTTCGGTTTAGTTTTATTTTATCTTCTCTTTGTTCTGCTCTGAACTTTCTATCTTTATGTATGTTGTTCTCCAGGAGCTGAGTACCAAGCCAGTGACATGGGCTTGCTGGTCGAAAACGCAACGATTGGTAAGCAAAGATTCAACTAGGCTTATTGCAGATGCAGGCTTCCAAGGAAGAAGTACAAGTCAGGATTTCCCAGCTGAAGAAAAAACTATATAAGTCGGATTCTGAGTATGAGTCATAGAAGCTTGCTGAGAGAGTCGCTAAATTATGGTTGTGTTGCTGTCAGTAAAGTCGGAGCAGCAACTGAAACGGAGCTTGAGGACCGTGAGCTCCCTATAGATGATGCAGAAACCATGACTTTTGCTGCTATCGAAGACGGGATAGTTCCAGGTGGGGGTGCAACTTGGGTGCATCTCTCCACTGCTATTACTGCCATTAAGGAGACGGTGTGACTTGTGAGGATCCTGATGAACGTTTGGGAGCTGCTTTGGTTGCGGGAATGGTACTTAAGGCTCCTTGCTCCTCATATGGTGTAATGACTATGAAAACACAAGATATTATTAGCATATTTGTGGGAAATGACTAGTTTGTTAACGGTGACGAGGATTAATAATCTTTGAGTTTGAGGATATATTTTTATTAATATTTATGTTCTATATATGTTTGAAAAATCTTATCCAAAACAGTTAATAGTTTAAATTAGTTCGATAAGTATATCATTTGACCAAAAATTTTGTAGTGATGTGTATTAAATATTGATTAATAAACCATTTTAATGAATAAACCCTAACTTGTATCGGACTTATTTGTATTTGATGACCAATTAATTGCAACGGTAATTGTAATTAACCCTTTTGTATTTTTTTATCGTAAAAGCGGTTCACGATATTCGTTTTGTTCATCTTGAAACTCTCTTTAATGGAATGTATTTTGTAGGTGAGCACTGGGATCATGACGCTAGTTCCTCGGATGTTGGTGATCCTGAAAGATATCATGCATGTTCCAAGTGCAATGAGGGATTTTGAAGACAAAGATAGAAAAGCCTTCCTTAGCAATTCAGGTAGAGACATGAAGAACATTCTTACAAAGGTCAAGGAATCTGAGAAAAAAGTCCAGGTAAATGTTCCACTTATCTCTGCTCTGGTTTGTTTGATGAGAGAAGTTCAGAGTCTTTCTTACTCGAGGAAAGATTTATCTAAGAGCTATGTGTGGGAGTTGAAAAATTCTGTTTAGTACTTGTTTTGTTTCCTTGTGTTGGTTTAATCTAGAACGACTTAGTTTTTTGAGGCACTGAGGTATGAGCTTTTTGTTTGTTTCTTCTGTTTGATATCTCTCTCTTATTCTATGCTTTTCATGGAAGCAAATTTGATGAGACTACTCCCATCATTTGTGGTTGAGAAATCCTTATTTAGATCTTGTTTCATGAACGTTGGGGTTGACTAACGAATAAAACAGTTGGTGTTTTGAATCTGGGTTTATGTTGTGCTTTATTTTTTTTGTGGTTTCTGAGGTGTTAGTGATATCTGTTTGTGTGTTGTAGTAACTTGGAAACCCAGTTTCTGGCACTGCAAGAAGTACATTTCAGGAAAAAGGAAGTGGGAGTGGGGAGCCCAGTACTTGAGGACAGAAGAAGGATTGTACGTACATAAATCCTGGAGGAACATGGTACATACTGATGAGTTAGAGAAATTGATTCGTTTTGTAATGAACTAGGAGTGATAGATACCTCTTAGAAAAGAACCGAGAGAGTTTACCTTTTCTGATTTTAGGATTTTCCAAAAACCATTCTTACAGTTCTTCTTTGATTTGCGTTGTATATTTTGGTTACAATCAATGTCGACAATCCAATCCAAATTTTTCTCTTTCTTTTGTTATCCAAAATTGATTGATACTTTGATAATTGATAGTGCATTAACTTAGGTACTATATAGTGAGGACAAATCTGCTTACACGTGTCAGTGGCTGAATTTTTAGAAGAAAATAAAATATGGGACTAAAATTAGAACTCCAACAAAATATCCCTAAATTAAGACAAACGCAAGCACAAGAGAAGCAAAATCTCTCTGTCTCTTCTCTGAATCCAAAACAGAGATTTTCAATCTGTCAAAGCTCGCAATGAACCAAACTTACAGAGAGATTGACTCGTCTTCTTCGATTTTTCTCATCTCCTATTACGACAAAGTACCTAATCTACCTTCTCCACCCACCCGCCGTTGTGGAGACGGAGAGACACGGCGGAGTTGGAGTGGGTGAGGAAGAAGAAGAAGACGAAGAGAAAGTGTTGATTTCAAGCGAGAGAAGAAACTGAGGATTCATAGATGTTATACTCTATCAAAAATCGCAGATTTGCATATGGAAGACTTCTTCTTCTTTGTCACGATTCATGATCACGCGCCGTCGGATTTCTGATGCAAATTTGTGCTTCGATCGCTCAATTCCTCGCTTGGGTTTCATTCCTTGTACTATTAGCGACGGTGGGCTCTTCTTCTTCTACGAAATCTCTCCTCAATTGTCATCCTTTAGATCAACTCCTTGTAAACCCTAGTCGTCAGCTTGATTTCCTCAGAGCAATGTCTTCCGTCAATGATTACATTACCGAAGACAAGCTCTGGGTCGTTTCTTCCATCACCGATCTATCTCCACCCATCTATGTGTTTCTACAGTGCCGAGAAGATCTCTCTGTTTCCGATTGTCGACACTGCTTCAACGAGAGCAGATTGGAGCTCGAGAGAAAATGTTCGGGTTCCGGTGGTCGAATTCATAGTGATGGATGCTTCTTACGGTTTGATGATCGAGATTTCTCAGAGGAGTTTGTTGATCCTAGATTCGATAGAGCCAAATGTGAGGAAACAGAGCCAGGGTTTGGAGATTTTTGGAAATATCTTGATGAGGCTTTGGTTAATGTAACCTTAAAGGCTGTTAAAAATGGAGGGTTTGGTGCAGCTGCTGTGACTAGAGCCGAGGCTGTGTATGCATTGGCTCAGTGTTGGCAAACACTTGATGAGAACTCGTGTCGAGAGTGTTTGGTTAATGCTAGATCGAGCTTGAGAGCTTGTGGTGGACATGAAGCTAGCGCTTTCTTTACAGGGTGTTACTTGAAGTATTCTACACACAAGTTCTTTGATGATGCTGCAGAACATAAACCTGACGATGGTATGAAACATTATGAATGTTGACATCACTCTAAGAGCTTAATGACTCTTGTGTTTCTTTCTTGTGCAGATCAGAGAAACTTTATAAGGTCATCGCTTTTTCCACATTTGAGTGATCATGATATTACGAAATTAGCAATAGCTGCGATTTCGTTGTCTTTTCTTACTTCTCTTGGTGCCTTTATCAGTTACAGACGGGTTTCAAGGAAAAGGAAAGGTAAACTGTGACTAGAATATCTTACAGGATCAAAGCTACGTATGAGGTTCCTTGTTTCTTGATTCATGATCTTTTTTTTGTTTAGCTCAAGTTCCATCGTGTTCAAATTTCAAATACGAGACGCTTGAGAAGGCGACCGAGTCTTTCCATGACTCTTTGAAACTAGGCCAAGGAGGGGCCGGTTCTGTATACAAAGGGATTCTTCCAGATGGCAGAATCGTTGCAGTCAAAAAGCTCTTCTTCAACACACGTGAATGGGCGGATCAATTCTTCAACGAAGTGAATTTGATCAGCGGAGTTCAACACAAGAACCTTGTGAGACTACTTGGTTGCAGCATTGAAGGTCCCAAAAGTCTTCTTGTCTATGAATATGTTCATAATAGAAGCCTTGATCAAATCCTTTTCAGTAAGTTGCAACATCTTCTATAAACTAACCCATTCATCGATTCCATCGTGTTAACTAATTTTGTTATTTTAATTGCAGTGAAGAATACAGTCCATATTTTGAGCTGGAAGCAACGGTTTAACATCATTATAGGAATTTCAGAAGGTCTAGAATACCTTCACAGAGGATCTGAAGTAAAAATCATCCATAGAGATATCAAAACCAGCAATATTCTCCTTGATCGAAACCTAAGTCCCAAAATAGCAGATTTTGGACTCATACGTTCAATGGGCACTGACAAAACGCAAACTAATACTGGAATTGCTGGAACACTGTGAGTGTGTGTGTGTATTTCTCATTCAATCCTTCTTTTAGAATATAAAGTATTGGAATTTGATGTTGTTCTTTGGAACTGCAGTGGTTATTTGGCTCCTGAATATCTTATCAAAGGCCAATTAACAGAGAAAGCTGATGTCTACGCATTCGGAGTTCTTATAATCGAGATAGCTACTGGAAAGAAAAACAACGCATTCACGCAAGGCACTAGCTCGGTTTTATACTCTGTAAGTAAGCTTTGTTTCCATGTTAAGTCACGGATATAAGACACACTCAGAATCATAGTGAAAATCTGTAATGGCTTTGTTTTGACTTGTTGGAATAGGTATGGGAGCATTTTAAAGCAAACACTTTAGATCGCTCGATTGATCCTCGGTTGAAAGGGAGTTTCTCAGAGGAAGAGGCCTTGAAGGTTCTCCAAATCGGATTGTTGTGTGTTCAATCTTCAGTAGAATTAAGACCGTCAATGTCTGAGATAGTCTTCATGTTAAAGAACAAAGATAGTAAATTTGAATGTCCGAAACAGCCTCCGTTCTTGAGTGCCAGTGTTCTAATGCCAGATGAGGAGACTAGAGTCTGATATTATCAGTTTCTTAGGATTTATATTGTTCTTCTGTAAATGCTCAAAGAGGGATTTTACACCACTCTTTCTCCTTTTCAAATCTTTTATCTGTTCATATTTTATTATGAAGGTCAACAAAAATGGAACCAAGGCTAGATTCTAAAAGTTTTGATTCGCTTACATCATTATTCTTTTTACAATCTAAAAGATGCGAGTTATTATAAATTTTTGAAGGATGTGATAATTGTATCTACAACAAAGATAGGATATCATTTGTTTTATTTTACAATATAATTGAATTCAATAACAATTTTATACTTAAACAAGAAAAATTAGAGGAACATAATTTAAAACCTGATGGATGGAAAAAAAAGTTAACAACTTTGTTTTGTAGATAACTTGTACTATAAAACAACAAGTTTGGAAAACAATGATTAAAAACATATCATTCCATATCGAATAAAACTGTATTATTAGTCGGTTGCGTCATGCATGACGCTAGACACAATACAACCAAGTATTAAATGCATATGTACGAAAAGACGTACATATGCATTTAAAAGTTGATTGTAAAAAAGTTTAAGTTGTGGATGAGAAGAAAAAAATGTCATCTGCATTATAGAGAGTAATTTTTTTTTTTGTTGTTGTATTTAACTAGTTGAAAATGACATGTAAATAATTTTTTTCACAAGTGTGTAAATCACAATGATAAATTCAAAAAAGTGGAAAATGTGAAAAATTTTCCAATTTCTTGTAATGACCTATAGCATCATTAATGTAACAATTTTTTTAATAAAAATATCAATCTTAGTGTAACTAGGTTTGTATATATCAAGTCTAAAAGTTTATGTTCTCTATCTATATTTAATTATTTATTATCTTCTATTAGCTATAATTTACATACAAAATTGATTAAACATTGAAAGCACATTGCAAAAAAACTCCCATAATGGTAAAAATAAATATATATTTAGAGCATTTATATCCCAAAGTTTTCAATGACTAATAAAATAATAAATAGAAATTAAAAAGGAAGAGAGAGAATAAGAAAAGACTCTTTTTGGACCACATCATTTAATTGTATTGGTCCACTTACATTTATTATTTAAATTTAATTAGATAATAATTTTTTTTTTTGAGATTTCTACTAATGTACATGCTCTTATTGTCGATGAAAAAAAGAGAAAAGTATGATGCGATATAAAAAAATTATTTTTTTTGCAGAAAAGAGAAAATGAAGTAAGATAGGGGTGGGCATTTAAACCGAACCGAACCGAACCGACCCAACCCAACCGAACTCAAACCGACCTAAACCGAACCCAAGCTTAGACTCAAACCATTCGGTTAGGTTTATTCTCAACCCAAATGGGTCGGTTCGGTTCGGTTTTAAACCGAACCGAACCGATAACCCAATGTGTTTATTTAATTAATTATTTAATTATATTAATAATAGGGAGACTCACAAAAATGCCCCTTTTTCAATACCCCTTTTCAAAAATGCCCCCTATGGATATCCATTTTTAAAAATACCCCTTTTATGTACAAAATGACTAAATTACCCTTCTTTTAATAAAAGATATCATAAATATATAAGGAAATATAACAAAATTAGGTCCACAAAATACAAAATATTTTTTGGCGGGAAAAGTGATCCCCCAATTTTTCCCGCCAAAACACTTGTAAAAATTTGTAAAACCTTTAAAATACCTTGTAAAATTTTCCCGTAAAATTTTTTCCCGCCAAAAAATTTTCCCGCCAAAAAATTTTTTTTGCGGGAAAAGTGATTCCGCAATTTTTTTGGCGTTAAATTTTTGGCGGGAAAATTTTTCCCGCCAAAAATTTACAAGGTATTTTAAAGGTTTTTTACAAGGTATTTATAAGGTTTTACAATGTATTTTAAAAGGTTTTACAACGTATTTACAAGGTATTTATAAGATATTATAAGATTTTACA